AAATATCCTCGGCCATCCCTGTAACTCACCATACACGGTTTCCTGAAATGTGTCATGTAACAGAAATTCCAGATATATTGTTCACATATGCCCTCCATAAAAAGATCTTATAAACATATTTTGTTCGACATTACGCTACAACTATTTTTGCATTCATTACACATTGATATAAATTTTATTTGAAAATGATCAATAAAAATGGGCAGATGTTTAACACTGGGGTGTGTGTAGATCAATTGTACAGCTGTCGAGGTTACCGCCCGTTCGTCACACCTGAGTAGATACCCAGAGTGTTCCACCCTTACTTGTGATTATGTTGTAAATCGTGCAGCTCCTACCATATTTGGGCATTGCAAAACGTAATTAGTTCTGAGGTTGGGCCAGAAATGTTTACTGGGCAGATTTGAGTGACCATCGATTGGTAGATCAATTAATTGTCACATTTCATTATCGCTCTGTTCAATTTTCTCCGTTGAACTCTATTCTAACAAAATAGAGTAGGGTCACGTAGATTTTGCATCCATTCCCAGCCAAACCTGATAAAATTAAGATATTTCAATACCTCGTCACAGGACATATCATAAGTAGCAGGAAACTAACTGAGGAACATCATCTGAGTCCATGGTGTAAGCAATGCGATTCACTTTGTGTACGAGTTCGATAACTGGGTAAAAAAACAGAGCAAAAATACCATAAAATGAAACACTTTGATAATAAGTGTTTATTTTTCTCTTGAAGTTGATATAACTATTTCCTATGCTGTCGTGGTAGTGAGAAACTTTACTCCAATTGCTCTGAGCAGAGTTCGATGGGCCTTCCGCATGATTTTCATTGTAGTAATCACCAGCTGCTTCAATGGGATCCGATCTCAAAATGACCCTCAGTTATTATGTAACCTTCATTAATGTGTGAATATAGACTGTAACAACTTGTTATATCCCCGTGTATGGCTACGCACGTGTTTTGAACGATCGACTCTTTGTCCTGTATTTGTAAATTGTATGCCACCCATAGAGACCACGAGAGGAACAAATCAATCTAAAATTTCCCAAAATATTGCTCATGAAAGATTCCAAGGATTTTTTTAAATTCCTCTATCCGGATGTACTAATGGGAAGGGGATATATTTTATCATTATCTTCTTCTTCTTCTTCTTCTTCTTCTGTGAAACCTTATATTCAAGAGTGTTGAATAACTTTTCTTGATAAATTGTTGAATGTGAATTTGTCTACAGTTTGTAATTTTACACGTGAGAGCTGTGAGGGCGTTGCTATTTGCATAAGCACGAACAAGGAAATTTTTTACGACAAAATTATTAATCATTTCAAATTTTTAAAAAAAACAAGAAACTCTTCTTGCTATTTGGCTGTAAATATATCCTGTTTCATTGAAATGGTAATCCCCAGTTCGTTTTCACGCGGAAAATTTATCAAGTGCAATAAATTCAATTAAATATGTATTTAACTGTTATAACACTCACGCACTGTTTATGACCCTAGGTAATTAGTCACGATGTAGGACATTTCGAACTGTAAAGACGACGGAACCACGCCCGGGCAACGTTCTTTAAAGACACACCCCCTCCCCGATCCCACATGCATTATTTACTTTATTTCTCTATTTGTTTTCTTCTGTTTTTTTTTTTATTTGATTTTTTCCTGATTTAACACATAGTACTACACGTGCATACATTAACTATTTTGAAATGAAGCAATATTGAATTTTGTTTTTAAATTGTTACTTTTGAGATTGGCTTGAACACGTATACGATGATTTTGGTTGTTTTAAAATGATTGAAATGCAAATTCGAACTTGGAAAAATATAAGCGTACCGTTCTTAATGAACCCACAAACTAATGTAAATGTTCACAAACAAATACCATATAAGGAAAGTAACTGGACCGTGAAGGATGATAAACAGCCCAATTACCTTACAACGTCATTTCCTAGACTGACGATTTTCCGGAATACTGTGTTTTATTGTCAAACTCCTTAACCATTTATCTTTATGTAGCGATGATAATTGCTTGCAATCAAACTTTAGAATGTCATGCCAAGTATTCCGATGTATAAGAACTGCTTGATAATGAAATTTTCTGTAATCTTATATGGACAGTAATGTACACTTTAAACGGCATGATTAAAGCTATTCAACGAACACATTTGATATTTGCAATCCTCTCTCTGATTATGATACAATGACAGCAAAATTTTATTATCCATGCTTGCATGAATGCGATAAGTTACCCCTATGACGAAAGAGTGGCAGGAGAGAGTGAGACAGAGACAGACAGAGAGCGAGAGAGAGAGGGAGAGAGAGAGAGAGAGAGAGAGAGGGGGGGTTATGAGATAAAGACAGGGGTGCATCAGGATAAAGGAATGGTCTTTTGTCAATTACAAGCTGTACAGATCAAGTGGAGATATTTGTTATCATTGATCTTAACTGCTTCGTCCTGGTGTAAACACCCGACTAATTACTAGGTACTTCATATCTGATCAAATCTGAGACCTAACTTTCTGCATAGTTATATAAGTAAAAAACGTTAAACCACATATCTTCAGTTCGATGTCTGGTGGTCATACTATAATCGCGTGCACCTGAGAATTAATTTAACTTCTTCAAAGATGTAACACTATTTCGTTGTAGTACTTAACCACAGAGTAAGCCTATATTCCGTTTTTAGATGTTAATTAATACTGATTTCGGACCAACAGGAACTTAAATTTTGAGTAAAATCTATTAATACCCATTGCCGTTTTGATTCAAAATTAAGATATAAGTTATCATCAAAAAGCCGTTCAATAGAAAGTTTATCTCCCTTTTTTTATCAGGTTTAATTCATGGCAACAAACGTTGAACTTCACATAAAAAGACAGTAATTATCGCCTACTTTTGTAAATATACCACATCATACGTTCTGTTAGACCATATCTTCTCCCTCGGCCCATTTAACCCTCAGGGCTAGATCGCACTTCCGAATCTGACTTAAAATTCTTTTCATTTATAATCCGCACAGCTCGTACATGAAAAGAAGACCTAAAGGACAAACTGCCGTGACCTCTGACGTCTGAAAGTATTTTGCGCCGTCATGGTTACCCCTTTCCCCCACCATCCCTATTAGATATTCGTTATTAAATCTATATTTTCATATTTCTGTTTAGAAATATCGTCACAACCATTCGAGTTCAATGACCACTTCGCCTGTTTTAATCTCAAGCACTGTTGGACTCAAAATATTATAATTTGAGCGTCATGTTTTTACTGTAATCCGAGAACGAAAGAAATAAAGCCATGATGTGGGTAAGATCTTCTATTAATGGTCAATCGTCGATATCCGTGTGATTATGTCCAAATAATGGGTGGGTTACCACCCTCTCCCCTTGCTCCCTAATCACTCATGTTACTGACAAACCACCATCAAAGGGAAGTAATCAGCTCTCAATTAAGTAAAATATAGACAACAAAATCGTAAAAACTCTTATTTAAATATATATATATAAACTAGGCCATATTGCCAAAATTGTTCGACTGGATGAATTCTGCGGTGGGTTTCCTTGGTCCTCTATACTATTTCTACATTACTGGGCGTTTTTACACAGAAGTTAAGCATGCATTTCAGTAACGGTGTATTTTTTTTATTGAACATTTCTTTTCATACTTAGTTTTAATTCCAAACTAAGGTTGACTTTATCTATATTTTGTTTAATCAACTAATCATTCTGATGGAGGCAAAGAAACCGGATATGGTTTATGACATTAGCGAATGGAATTTACCCAAAATGTCAGAATTCTAGATCAGTATCACAGCAGGATTCACAAAAAAAAAAAAAAAAAAACCCTCAGAATTTCAGGTCACTACTACAACAAGATTCACCGAAATATCAGAATACAAAATATTACAGTATCTTGGGTTTGATATTCACACTAGCGTGATGTTGTTAAGTTTGCGAACGCATTGCCTTAAACATACCGTGTTAATTATTGTAACGAAATTTATGATGTGAAACACGTTTAATTGATTGTGAGTTGTCTGGTTATGAATATATCGCGGGTCATCATTACAAATTGATATATATAGACACGTTCTGTATATAGCTCTTTTGATAGAGCGTGTGATGGTTACGTGGTTTTGAAAGGTAGACAGTTGTATGTTTATGTATATGTATCTATACAAACAGGAAAGAATTTGTTTGAAAAGTCACGTTTAACGTCCTTAGAATTCATCCTATAATTTGACATATCAAATCCTGTTTGTATTTTTTGAATAAATTGTACATATTTATTTTTTATCTTACGGAACGATCACCAAGGTAATTTCGTGTTTATAACACCAAGTTTAATTTCAAGTCAAAAACAGAATGATCTGAAATGCAAATAGTGTTACATGATTTGATGCACACGACACTAAACCAGATCTAGACATTGTGTTTACTTTACCCCTCTCGGTAGACATTTTAAAATGGTTGTGGTTCGTCTATGAATGTGAAAAGGGACACATATATGATAAATTTAGAAATATTTATCAGGTTGCTGCACCAAGGTATTTTGATAGATCATTAAACAAACAACTGGAAAGAGATAACAATTTGTAAGGTAATGTTGGTATGGTCAAGAGGGGTACGGAAGTCATTTTTATAAATTCCTCCGAGCGAACGCGATATCAGTATACGGTATATGTAAATCTCCACAGAAATCTACATTTCTTAAATCAATTTCATTACATAAAGTCTATTTCAGGTAGTTAATATATGCAAATGAAACACGGAATGTGGAATTACAATGTCAACCAATCGGAATCCGATAATGTATGCAAATTAGGATCAGGCGCGCGAGGAATTCATAGCACGCGGGGGCGTACCCTGATACTACGATGACGTGACTCAACCGGAAATACTCCAGGAATTGTCAGAACTCACATAAATAGGTGCTGGTTTATGGAGCAAATCAGTTCAGCCCAAACATCGGATCTACAAACATCTAGACTGAAAGTCTAATTCTGTGTCATCTGAAGTGAACAATATAATACATTGAAAGGAGACCAGTTTCACCTGTACACCAACTTGGATTTATAACCAGACAAGGTAAGTTTGAATTGTATTCCCTTTAATTTGGTTTTAAAAAAGTCTTTAAAATAAATTACTTGGTACCGATTAATAATTCTATTTATTTCTCTTATATTTACAATCTGAAAAAATGTCATAAATTACATTTTGAATAAAATGCCATCGCCGTGATATGCGCTGCTGTGTTGACGTGATCATGTACAATATATTCAGCATGCGGTCTTCCAGGGTGACCCCATTCTGCACGATATCTCTAGATAAATACAAGGCTCTTGATTAAAGCCGGATTCCCGTCGTGAGAAATTTGCTCCGAATAAAATTTTATTTGCGTTTAGGCAGTAAAAGATTATCAGTGTCAAAATACATCTGATAAACGTGGTTAACTTTAAATACAGTTTCGGAAATCTATTGTTTTATATAGGTGTTTGTCGTTTGTTTGTTAAGACGAGTTGGAATGTTCAACAATTACTCACTATAAACAGGGAAACATACTAACCAGTTATCATTATCGTATTCAGATATGTTTACCGTGGAAGCATAAGCTGACTTGTCAAACTTGTTCTGGCAAATATGCAGCGAAATTGATTTTGCATGTCAGTCACGAACCAAGGGGGCATGTGTTTATGCAATGATTACAGTCAATGACGGTATACTTCATTATATTTACATTACCGGTGTGTATCCTCTATAAAGACCTACCAACGAAATTGACGTTTACACTTCGGTAAACCTTACGCGTATGAATACATTGGCCTTCAGTAACTTGACGGCAAGCACACTTGGCGTGATGCCAATAAACATAGTGATTTTTTTCTTCAAAGTTCTAACATTTAATAAACCTTTCTTAAATTTAATATGTTGAATAAATATAAGCATAATGATAAAAGGAAAAAAAATGTTGTAAATTTAGATAGGAAATAATTCAAATAAATGATGCTATATTGTGGAACTATATTTGCTTACGTCTTGTGTATGACAATTGTTCCCGCCAAATTGGAGTCAGCTGTTCGGCTATTCCATCAGATGTCGGGTATTCTCGCCTAAGCGTGTAATTTCCAAACAATTGAAACCGGAATTTTTCCATGCGGTATTCTCAAAGAGGAAACCAAATAAATGTAAATATAAGAAATAGGCGCGTCATGTTAAAATATATGTAAAAAAAATGCAGTTTACACACCAGTTAACAACAAAAAATTAAAATTATTTCTTAATTAAAATTTGAAATATAATAAGGCGTAGCTTAAAATATAAGTATCTCTTTTCATTTTATCATTTTTTTTAAATTTTTAATTATGCTCTTTTTCATTTGCCTTTCAGTTCTCAGTAAATAACCAACATGCTCACCAACATAATGAGTCTGCTTGTCTTGATGTGTGTCGTGTCCGTGCTAGGCAGCACAATGCCTTGTCCTAGTGACCAATGTCGTTGTGAGAAAGGAACACGCGCTAGAGGGCGTATCATCAACTGTCGCGCGAGAGGCTTGTCCCAGATCCCTCGATTTGAACCTTCCGACGAAATGTTTTACGAACTCACGCTTGCAAATACAGTGGGGTGTTCCGAGTGTAACAATATCACGGTCATTCCTCCGGGAGCCTTCGGCGGGCTGAAGTTCAAGATCCTGGATCTAAGCGGTAACAAGATTAGACATGTGTCTTCGGAGGCTTTTTCAAGTCTTGTGCCAATGCTGTCTGAAATTTCTATAGAGGGCGACGGCCGGTACCCACCGCCTTATCAAGAGCTGTCCGTTTTGACCAATCTTAAGACGCTCACTCTACAAAACTTTAACCAGCTGTATATGAACCGAGAAAACACAGATCTTCAAAATTTGTTAAATTTGGAGGAACTTCATCTTAAAAACATGGAAATATCGCATATTTCTGAAAATGTTTTCCAAAACCGTTTACCAAAACTTAAACATCTTCAGCTGGCATTCCTTCCCTTGGTAACCTTACCTGCTTTCAGTTTACGTCACCTGACAAAACTAGAAGTATTCCGTGCTATAAGTGTGGGTATAACAGAAATCCCCTACAAGGCATTTTCCGGGTTTGTAAACCTTAAAGAATTAGATCTTTCCCACAACGAAATAAAAAGTATGGTACCTGGATGTTTCGATGGCATAGAAGAGTCTTTGGAATACCTCGGACTTCATCTGAATAAATTGAATGAGAAAAACGTCGGACCTTTGGCAGCTGCGGGATGGACCAATTTGAGACAATTGAATCTCGGTCACAATAAAATGACAAGTGTGCCCGTCGGACTATTTTTTAACATGAACGCACTTGAATATCTTAACCTGGATTCGAACCAGATCGCCTCGTTGAAACCCAGTACGTTTCAGGGCTTGCAGTCTCTTGATTACATGGACCTTTCCTACAACAAACTGTCTTCGCTGTCTAACGGTGCGTTCCTTCACACTCCGAAACTGACACAGCTCGATATTAGGGGGGAGGACACGCCCATTTTCAATCTTTCACGACAAGGTATTCAGGGACTCGAGAACACGCTCAAAGACCTTATACTAACAGACACCGTTGTTTACGAGCAAGAAATGTGGCGGGCTGTCTCTGGGCTTAGTCGCCTTCAAGACTTAAAGTTGGGCGGAACAAAGATCACCGCAATTCCAGATTATCAGTTCATCAACAACCGGAACATGGTCACCTTAATGCTCGACAGAAATAGCATCACTGAGTTGTCACAGAAAACATTCCACGGTTTGGCTGGAACATTGAAGACCATGAATCTCCAAGGTAATGCCATCCAAACTATAAGCAAATGTGTGTTAACATCTTTAACAAACCTCGAAATGCTTTATCTTGGCAAAAATCCTCTGAAATGTGACTGTAACACTGTATCCCTCAAGGACTGGATTATATCTAGGATAAGTAAAAATTTCATATTTCAGTATATGGTAGACGCGGTGTGTCGATCACCATCCACAATCCATGGTCGTGATCTGTGGACACTTGATAACGACCAGCTGACATGTGACACGGAACAGGTGATCTCTAAGTGCGAAACGTTACCGGACGTAATAACAACGACGGAGATGCCGATGACCAGAGTTTCCCCTAGTGTAGACACTGATGTAAACTCTCTCTTCAGTTTCACACGACTCGTTGAAACTCAAAGCACGGTCGAAATTGACTGGTCTTTTCTAGATGATAGAATGGTTTCTGGATCCAAACTAGAGCACCAGCTTCTTGGACAGACTTCTGAAAACACGGTTATTGATTTGTCGCCATCGTTGAAAAACTACGTCATTTCCGGTTTACGTCCGGATTCGAACTACTTGGTTTGCCTAAGTGTTGTGCCAAGAAGCATGCGGTTACCTTCATTAGGGCCCAGAAAAGTTTGTGTCGCTGTCAAAACACTTCCATGAATATTTTAACGAATTCAAAACCTGTACACTGTACTCATTCCTTTTGTCAACATCGCAGTCATATTGTTTGTGTTTTAATCATGATTGGGGCCAAATTGGAAATAATGATGGGTACAATGTTGTTTTATTATAATCGAATCTCTATCTCGTCTGCCAATGAACGAACACCTTTTTATGGCGTGAGTAATGTAAATTAGTATATAGAAAGTTCAATGAAAAGTACTATTTAAGATGATGTGATGTTTTTACATTTTTTACTACATGACCAAAGGATCGCCAAGTACGACAGATTATGAATGGTACAAGGGAGATAACTCGTCAATTCTCTTATAGATAAAGAAATACATTCCATACAACGAATGTCGGATTTCGCCATGATTACGTGTTTGTATACGATATTTATGAAATGTATTTCATGCCGATTTATGAGGACCTTTACAAGTAACTGTTTTCCATATCTGTGAAATCCATTTGAGATTTTTTTTTTGTTTGTACAAAGTGTGTATATGTTTGATAAATGATATCATGTTTTGTTGTTTTACATCGCGACCTGTTGCGAGGTGCTTTTAGCATTTCTAAATTGCCTTTTTCTTAATCGTACACATATACGTATGATACAGATTTCATAATAGGAAGTAATCTTCGATATTACACATAAAGAAGTATGACTCATTGATATATTAAGAAATTATCGTTTATGGCTTGTGGTATATATTGCAATATTAATTGGTCGCCACCTTGTGCTCTAGTCGTTCATGCATTTGTGAAATCAGTTATGTATAGATATGATATTGATATTATTTGTGTATAATATTTTTTATTTTGTTATGAAATTTAAACTTTGTTTTCAATAAAATAAGCAAAAGTGCTGTTAACGTTAATGTGTTTTCTTTTTATACGTGCTGATAATAATATATATAAACGATAAAAGTGACGTCACACGTTCTGTCGCAACAAGCAAGTCGATGAAGCACATCATCGCGAAATCAAGATGACTGAGAAAGAGAGAGAGAGAGGGAGGGCGTGACGTGGGTTTGTGGAGGGGGGATTGTTATTTTGAGAATTTATCAAATCTTCCCTAACCTACCATTTGGTAAAGCTTTACCAAATCTTCCCTAACCTACCATTTGGTACCGCTTTACCAAATCTTCCCTAACCTACCATTTGGTACCGCTTTACCAAATCTTGCCTAACCTACCATTTGGTACCGCTTTACCAAATCTTGCCTTTACCAAATCTTGCCTAACCTACCATTTGGTACCGCTTTACCAAATCTTGCCTAACCTACCATTTGGTACCGCTTTACCAAATCTTGCCTAACCTACCATTTGGTACCGCTTTACCAAATCTTGCCTAACCTACCATTTGGTACCGCTTTACCAAATCTTGCCTAACCTACCATTTGGTACCGCTTTACCAAATCTTCCCTAACCTACCATTTGGTACCGCTTTACCATCTTTTTTGTCGCCTAAAACAATCATACCGTCACCATTACAAAGTATATTTGTATCAATGATACTATTTTACTATCTATTTCAGTAGGAAATAAGCTACATAAGTTCTGATATAGGGGACAGATAATAAAGAAGATCAATCTTCACAGGGATGTCGTAAGGCTGTATCTGTTAGGTTAAGCCGGTTGGCTTGGTTTCTTAGACGTCAGTGAAGAATATTTTATTTCTTAAATCAATATCAAACCATTTGTTTGTCCAGATTACTGATTGTCGGTATAGACGTTTTAATATTTAAATGGAATTGATTAAGTGAGGGTCAATTTCTAACATGGTTAAAGAGATATTTCCAAAGAATTTTGTGATAGACGTAAACGAAAACATTGATCTCTCCGCAAGTGAGCTCCTCGTAAATCACAACATAATATGCTAAGTCATTCAGAACATTTGGTGACATCTTGTTAACAACGGAATAAAGGAGAGAGTTTCCGAGTATCTCTTCCTTGTGAGAGTAACTTTCTGATTTAAACTTTTTTTGCGAGTGTAAGTGCGATACAATCCAGTTACGAGTTTAACAGCTCCTTATTTAATGTTGTCTTGTGTAAAGGAGTTATTTTCTAAAACTGTCACCTTTTCCGGTTCGATATAGTTTTTGTCTGACTTTTGATTAACAATTCAGCATCCATCCCCTAGTCGTTTTGTAGCTGTATTCCTCATTATTGTCGCCTCTTGACTAACTAACAGCTGTTTTCGTGTCGTTTTACTAGCCACATCTGCTTCCACGATTTTCCATGGTATAGACAATTGTGTATATGAAATCTGTCTATGTGCCTGAGATGTGGGTGTGTGTGTGGGGTGGTGGTGGTGGTGGTGGTGTGTGTCGTCCTCTCTGATTGTGTGAGTGGGTGTGTGGGTGTGGGGGGTGGTGGTGGTGGTGTGTGTCGTCCTCTCTGATTGTGTGCCTGAGATGTGTGAGTGGGTGTGTGTATGATGTGGTGGTGGTCGTGTGTGTGTGGGGTGGTGGTGGTGGTGGTGGTGTGTGTCTCCTCTCTGATTGTGTGCCTGAGATGTGTGAGTGGGTGTGTGTATGATGTGGTGGTGGTCGTGTGTGTGTGGGGTGGTGGTGGTGGTGGTGTGTGTGTCCTCCTCTCTGATTGTGTGCCTGAGATGTGTGAGTGGGTGTGTGTATGATGTGGTGGTGGTCGTGTGTGTGTGGGGTAGGGGTGGTGGTGGTGGTGTGTGTCGTCCTCTCTGATTGTGTGCCTGAGATGTGTGAGTGGGTGTGTGTATGATGTGGTTGTGGTCGTGTGTGGGGGGTGGTGGTGGTGGTGGTGTGTGTCGTCCTCTCTGATATCAATATTGAATTGTCTCCCTTCCTACTATCAAATTACCCTTTCCATACGGTTGCTTTCCTTTATTCCAATAATTCACGTTCTCTATTGCCCATTACAGTTATTTTCATCGAAGGTGTTGGTTGAATTTGTCAACATTTACACTTTCCATGTTGCCCTCTTTTCAGTGTTGGCGGCCATTGGTGTTTCACATTGCTTTTGCAACTATTTCCGTTCGATTTACTTTCCAGAAAGCTCAAAACTTCCGAAACGAAACAAGCAAAAAAAAGTATTTAAAGCAAAAACCAAGAATAAAACTTCAAATATATAACTATTTATTTCTTGGAATTTACTTGAAGGACGGCCTGAAAATGAACAATTCTATAACATATGAAAATGGTAAAGGTTACATCACAATATATAAATACAATAGAGGCAATCCTACAATCTATGAATAATCACAAAGACAATGACACTATCTATAAATATAGGTAAAAATAGCCAACAATATATATAAATACCAGTAAAGACAATTCATCAATATATAAATACTGGTAAAGACAATCGACCAAGATATCAATACCGATACAGACAATCCACCAATATATAGATAACGGTAAAGACAATCCACCAATATATAGATAACAGTAAAGACAATCCACCAATAAATAAATACCAGTAAAGACAATCCACCAATATATAAATACCGATACAGACAATCCACCAATATATAAATACCGATACAGACAATCCACCAATATATAGATAACAGTAAAGACAATCCACCAATAAATAAATACCAGTAAAGACAATCCACCAATACATAAATACCGATACAGACAATCCACCAATATATAGATAACGGTAAAGACAATCCACCAATATATAGATAACGGTAAAGACAATCCACCAATATATAGATAACGGTAAAGACAATCCACCAATATAAAAACACCAGTAAAGACAATCCAACAATATATAAATACCGATACAGACAACCCACCAATATATAGATACCGGTAAAGACAATCCACCAATATATAAATACCGGTAAAGACAATCCCACAATATATAAATACCGGTAAAGACAATCCACCAATATATAGATACCGGTAAAGACAATCCACCAATATATAAATACCGGTAAAGACAATCCACCAATATATAAATACCGATACAGACAATCCACCAATATATAAATACCGGTAAAGACAATCCACCAATATATAAATATAAATACCGATAAAGACAATCCACCGATACAATACCAATATATAGATAACGGTAAAGACAATCCACCAATATATAGATAACGGTAAAGACAATCCACCAATATATAAATACCGGTAAAGACAATCCACCAATATATAGATAACGGTAAAGACAATCCACCAATATATAGATAACGGTAAAGACAATCCACCAATAAATAGATAACGGTAAAGACAATCCACCAATATAAAAACACCAGTAAAGACAATCCACCAATCTATAAATACCGATACAGACAATCCACTAATATATAAATACCGGTAAAGACAATACCGGTAAAGACAATCCACCAATATATAAATACCGGTAAAGACAATCCACCAATCTATAAATACCGATACAGACAATCCACTAATATATAAATACCGGTAAAGACAATCCACCAATATATAGATAACGGTAAAGACAATCCACCAATATATAAATACCGGTAAAGACAATCCACCAATATATAAATACCGGTAAAGACAATCCACCAATATATAAATACCGGTAAAGACAATCCACCAATATATAAATACCGGTAAAGACAATCCACCAATATATAAATACCGATACAGACAATCCACCAATATAAAAATACCGGTAAAGACAATCCACCAATATATAAATACCGGTAAAGACAATCCACCAATATATAAATACCGGTAAAGACAATCCACCAATATATGAAAACCTGTATAACAATCCCACAATCTATAAATAACAGTAAAGACAATCCCACAATCTGTAAATAACGACAACTAATCCCACAATCTAAGAATACTAGTTAAGACATCAACATAATCTATGAATAGCGGTAAAGAATTCTACAATCTACAAATAACCGTTTAAACATCCCCATAATCTATAAATAGCGGTAAAGACTGTTCTACATTACATTTTTCCCACAAGAAGAATACAGTTAAGACACTATAACTTCATGTCAAGATCTCCGGACAAGCTGAAAAGAACAAAGGGCGCTAACTCTTGAAAGTATTGTTCAATCGGAATCAGTGCTTCAAAATTTAAGCACGTACCATACCAAGTGTGAAAAAAGACATGGTGAACACTGACTATACATCAACTTGAGTTTGATCAAATGAATATTATCAGAATCTTTTAAAAATGGATTTGACACATGTATATTGCAAATGCCTGTTGATCGTTGAATAAGGGGTAATTAAACAAATATACCGGGACCCTTTGGGACTTTTCACATAGGTAAATAAACCGGTAAGGTTTCTGGGATATCATAAAATTCCAACCGATTGATATTTTGCAAAAAACAAAAACAGGGTTAAACTCAATTAATAGGTATTAAATATGTGTTTTGCTAAATCTTTAATAAATTTTCCATTTTAGATACAATTTTAATATATAAATACGTCTTATCATTGAATTTGTAATAATAATGAAAAACCAACCCAACATCGGCGACTCAAAACCATGTTCAGTAAATCATAAAAGTCTTAAGCCTTATAAAAATGAGAGACAGTAACTCCGTCAAAACTGATCAAAGTCCGACTGATCTCCTAAAGTATTTGTAATTTGAGCTGGTGTAAATCCTAATACATCCCAACTGGACTTTCCATGGTAAGCTCACTACCTTAGGAGTTCGTAGTTGTGGTGAAAATGGTACAAGGTACTGGGAAAATCAAACTTACTCCTCGAACAAAGAAATTTGTCCTGTATCAGTCTGGGCATCAATTTACCACAGTTCATAATGATTATAAGTTGTTGCTTTTTTTTTTACCGCCTCTCCAATAGTCATGACCATATTTGGGGTAAAGACCGCCATGACAGGTCAGGTTGGATTTAAAAATAAATGTACTTATAAAAAGATT